TGGTAATATCAGATATCGGTCATAAAATATATGTAGTCAAACTTATATCGATTTAGTTAAATAGTAATATAGTAAACCCTATGAAAAATGTAGTTGGTGTTAGTACGTGTTTCTATGTAAAGGCACAGTTAAGAGTGAAACAGTTAGGTGTTTGGGTTTGCATATTCGTAGCTAGTATTAGTATATTAAATTGGTTTAAATTAGATAGTTTACCTGAACATTTTGAACTATAAATGGACTGGGTTTTGCTGCACTTTACTAAACCAAAACTTACAGGTTTTGGCATAGGTAATTACATATAAAGTAATGAACCTTCTTTGATGGATGATGACACATAAATTAACAAACCTTATTCAAACATGAAATTAATGAACCTTATTCAAATATGTAAATTAATGAACCTTATTAAATTAGTAATAACACATAAATTAGCGAACTTTCTATAATATATATTATTTTTTTTTTAATTAATACTATTATAAATAATATATGTTTATTACAAGTATACTTTAAAATTTTTATTTAACAATGATTACTATATTCTACTCAACTAAACTTTATTATTATTATACTGTATATATATATATTAATATATATGCGTATATATTAAAAAATATATATAATATTTTTTAAAAGAATTTTTTTTAATTTATTCTTATTCTAGTTTACTATCAATTTAGACTTTGAATTTCCTATCCTTTTTTTGTTAGCTGGTGATAATAGCAATTGAGTATTCTCTTTTCGAACTTATTTTGGTTAAGAACCTTTTAATCTTTGATCACATTTCTTGAAATTAGTATCACCTTTTTGTCATGTTCAGCTACTTATTCTATTAGTGATTTGTTTAATAGATGAGTTTTGGTTTAAGATATCTATAATAAAGTCAAATCTTATTAAATTATTGAACAAATATTGATTCTAATTTTAATATATAACTATATAATACCTTTAAAGTTTTGTGATAAAATGTTTTCACCTGTCTTATTATCACTATCTGAAGTAGGATCAATATAATATCCAGAAGCTGAGGTAGCATAATTGCTAGAAGTAGAGTAATATGGCTATTAGATGCAGAGGCAATATAGATACTAGAAGAGAGTATTGCATAATTATTAGAGGTAGAACCTTTATAATTTTTATAAAAATTGCTACTAAAAGATTCTAAATCATCATTATCATCTAATTAACAATAAATTTAATTATTAATAATACAGAATTAACTAATAATTAAGATTTATAAAATGAAATATATATTCACTTATTTCTGGCTTAATTTTTCTGAATTCTTTACTAGATCTGAATAATAAATCTATATTTTTTTTGTTCATCATTGTATATCTTTTAAAAATACTAGTTGATTGTTGCACTACTTCTAGCTCATCATCACTACTTGCAACTTGTATATTCAGCATAGTAATTTTGAGACCTTTTTTTTAGCTCCTTTTCTGAAATTATCAGCTATTAAAAATATAAAAAATTTTATATATTAAAAAAATACATAATTAAATAATTTGATATTATTATTTTACTTCTATCATTCAATTTTTGTTTTAAATATTCTTGTACAATCTATTTATTAGAACCAATTTGAAGTCTATGCTTAGTATATACCTAAAACTATATAAATTCAAATTTAACTTAATCATTCTTTTCAAATTCTGTAATTAGATATTTTTTCAAAGCCTAATTTTTTTCTAAGTTCTAATTATAATAAAATACTATCTCCTATTCATTGAAATAGATTATACAATAATATTATATTCTAACTAATTATATTACTTTCAATAACCTGAATACTATAATATTGGCTTATTTTATCTTTTCTTTTTCAACTTATATGCTATTTGATTTTGTAATCTATTTTACTTAATTAGAAGCAAAATTTCTATACGTTTAAGAACTTTAGTAAACACTATCTTTCTTATAAGATAGATATTTTTTGATCTCTATAATTTTAAACTGTTTTTATTAATATGAATTAATATAAACTATAATTTTTTTTAGATTTTCTAAGATTTCATATACTAATTAATCTTATATTAAACTAATTTTATAATAGTTATCTATAATATAATTAACTTATATCTTCAACCTAACTTTCTCTAGCTGAATATCCTAACTGTGACCATGTTGTTAGCTCTGTAATTTTGTTTGCTTCAAAATGTAATATAAAATCAGATTTAATTTTCAAAAAATAATCTTTAGATAACTAAGGACAAAGCTTTCATAGTTTTAATTTTGATGACTGATTTTTGTTAGTTCTTTTAAGTAGATGTATAACTAGAATTTTAATATCAGCCTGTTCTAATTTTTTATCTTCAAGTAGTTTATTAAGCAATCTTTTTTGTGCATCATAGCATAATTTTAAGATTTCTATTTGTTGAACTTTTGAGAATGTGTTTAAAGTTTTTGTAGATAGAAGTTCGTAGTCTGTAATTTTTTGAGATAAATATGAGTAAGAAATAGGAAAAGTTGTCATTATAAACAATATGTAACATGAAAAAACAATGTTGTGTAGATCTTATATTGTTTACACTATTATATAGCTGCAGAAATTATAAATAAACAAATATAACGATAAATGATACATTAAATAAAATTCAAGAATACTTATTTCTAATTGGCTATTTCTTTTTTAGGAATTTGTCTTATCGTTATTATAATACAAATAAATAAAATTATATTATTAGACAGATATTTTATTAATTAGTTATACAAATTCTAAATTTTAAAATCATATTGATATATTACTTAACTTTTTAGTTATGATAAACTCATATAAAAACAAAAAAGTAATTTGCAAATATAAAGCCTATCTAATAATTAATTCACAAGGTTGAAAACTTTATAAACAAATTAAATACCAGCATGAAAAGACTAAAAAATGCTTATATGATAAAAATGGTATTATTATCAGAAAAACCTATTACTAAAAAAAAAAGAGTAAATAAATCAAAAAATAATCAAGATAACAAATTAAAACAAGATGAAGAAATGAATTATATGAAATTTTTAAAAAGTATGAGGAGCCAGAGCAATATAGCAAATCATAATTAATGAATTGTGAGAAAACTAATAATAGCAACATAATAAAAAATAATATTCAAAAAGAAAATTATAAATTAGTTCAATATATTGAAAATATTGAAAGTAATTAAATGTTTAATTAATAATTTTTATGTAAATTTAATATAAACTACTATAAGTTTAAACAAGCTATATAACTAAAATAAATATATAAAGTTATATCTCTAAGAATTTTGTAAATAAAATATTTAAATTTAATTTAATAATATCTATTTTAATTAATTTATTTATAGCAAAATCACCTAATGCATTTAAAGTATTACGATTATTATACTTAAAAGCAAGAAATACTTACATATCAAATAATGATTTTGAAGAAACTTTATGAATTTTTGATTGCCATAGCCCTACCTTATATTAAACTAAAAAGATTCTTCAAAATTTAATTAATATTGATATATTATTTGTTGATATATGTATTAATTCATGTGTAGCATTTACTGGAGAATATATAGAAGCAACACAATGCCCTATATGTTTGTCTAAACAATTTCAAAAAAAAGATATAGCTTATAAAGTAGCTGCTTACTATCCAATAACCTCTTAATTAAAGTTTCAATATGCAAGTTTTGAATGATCAAAAACTTTAAGATATCGTTCAAATTATATACTTAATACTAATAAGTTTGGTGATATTTATGATAGACAGTTATATAAAAGCTTATTAAATAAAAATTTAATAAAAGATGAGCAAGATATTATACTTACTAGAAGCTTAGATAGGTATCAAATATTCTATTAACAACATGATGATAATTGGATAATTATGTTTATTAATAATAATATTCTACTAGAAGATCATATTAAGAGAGAAAATTTATTAGTTGTAGCAATAATTCCTGGTTCTAAATGTCCAAAAGACCTTAATAGCTTTATGTAGCCTATTATTAATGAGCTAAAAAGACTCGAAGGTATTTATATTTAAATATTAAATAAGTTTAATTTTAATTTAATAATTTAATTATTTTATAATATCATATTAGTATTTAGATGGTATAATATGTTAGGATAGTTAGAAGCAAGAACATTTTGTTCTACATGTTTTTGTTCC